CTCTCTCTCTCTCTCTCTCTCTCTCTCCGTGTGACTAACGTTTCCCTCACTCTCCATTCTCTCTCTCTCTCTCTCTTTGCTGACAGGAGGAGAGCTTGGAGGATTTGAACAGCCGTAAGAAAGAGATCATCTGCCACATGCAAGAGGAGCCCATGTTCATGGGATACACGGGCGTGGCCTACCGGGCCGACGGTTTCCGCGGGGGTCTGGACGGCCTCAAGACGGTGCTAGGCAACAACAAGAGGATGAGGGAGGCCATGCCGAAGCTGGTGTCGGACATGTTTGTGGCCACGCGATCCACGCAGTCGCTGGACGAGCTCTGTACGTTCTGCTCTTCTCCTGCGTTGCAGCGTCTTCTTTCTTGGCTCGACTCCTCCTCCTCCTTTACTGTCTCCTCCTCCTCCTCCTCCTCCTCTTCCTTCACTTCACCTTATCCCCCTCCTCCTTTACCATCATCTCCTGCGCTGCAACCTCCTCTTTCTTTGTTCGCCTCCTCCTCCTCCTCCTTTACCTCCCCCTCCTCCTTGACCATCTCCTCCTCCTCCTCCTCCTCTTCTTCCTGTGGGTGGTTAGCGGGTGCTCTGGTGTGGTTTGCTCCTGCTTTCCTGTCAAACATCTATTGTCCTAATCTCTCCTCCTTTTTTTTTGTTTGTTACTCTCTTGTAACAGCTCTATTCTTTGACACTTATATGACCTTATTGTGTTGCAAGTGCCGTAAAACACTTACTAAAAAAAACGAAACCTCTTCTTCCTTTCCCCCCTCTGTGTCTACCTCCGTTCCTTCCTTCGGGTTACCAGTGTTTTCCTGACCACATCTGCTTTGTGCTCATCTCCCTGAGTGGGTCGTTGGCGGGTGCTCTGGTGTGGTTTGCTTCTTCTTTCCTATCAAACGTCTATCTTCCTTATCTCCCTTCATTCTTTTTTTTATGTTTGTTACTCTCTTGTAACACCTCTAATCTTCTGGTGCTCATATGACCTTATGCAGTTGCGAGCGCCGTAAAACCTCTACTTAAACAAACAAACTTCTCCCTGTGGCTGGTCGCATGGCACCAATGGCAGACCCTGCTTCTTTCCTATCCTTCTGTCGTTTCTGTCTGTCTGTCTTACTTTCCCAACACTGCACCATTCTACACTCCAGACTGCTCCCCCCCCGGGAGGTGATCTTTAATTTTCTTTCACTTCCTATTCCATTTCGCTGCAGGAGAGAAGAGTTGCTTTCGAATCGCTAAAGACTTCGTCAGAGGTCACCAACCGTGTGTTATGGACGACGTATGCCTATATTATGTATACTTTTATCTCTTTCTTTATCTCTCCTCTCCTTTCTCTCTTTCTCTCTCTCACTCTCTCTCTCTCTCTTTCATTTTCTCCCCC